ACCCTAACGCGACTACACGTCGTTAACTTAACGCGACTACACGTCGTTACCCTAACGCGACTACACGTCGTTAACTTAACGCGACTACACGTCGTTACCCTAACGCGACTACGCGTCGTTACGCTAACGCGACTACGCGTCGTTACGCTAACGCGACTACGCGTCGTTACGCTAACGCGACTACGCGTCGTTACGCTAACGCGACTACGCGTCGTTACCCTAGCGCGACTACACGTTGTTACCCTAACGCGACTACGCGTCGTTAACTTAACGCGACTACACGTCGTTAACTTAACGCGACTACACGTCGTTACCCTAACGCGACTACACGTTGTTACCCTAACGAGACTACACGTCGTTACCTTAACACGACGACACGTCGTTACCCTACCGCGACTACACGTCGTTACCCTACCACGACTACACGTCGTTACCCTACCACGACTACACGTTGTTACCCTAACGCGACTACACATCGTTAACTTAACGCAACTGCGCGCACCCTAACGCAGTGGTTCTCAAACTTTTTCTGTCGCGCCCCACTTTGGAGGAAGAAAAATGTTCATGCCCCACCGCCCCATCAAAATTGTAACAAAATGGTCTATGTTGAATTTTTATTGAAATAACATTTTGTGACTCCTCCATCTGTGCTTTTTCAAATAATAAAATAAAGAAAATTGCAATTACTTTCAAGTAAACCAGATTGCTCTATCAGACAAAAACAAATAAAATGTGCAATCACTTTGTGAGAACAATGCAAATAAAGTTATATCTGTGCAAAAAAGAACTACAATTTGGCAAAAAATAGCTTATTGCAATTGGCTGCAATTAACCTGTTTTGCACGAAACATCTTTTCAAGATAACAATAAAGTGCAACCTGTGAAAAACTAAACAAAACAAGTTTCATACTATCCGCAGCTGGTTTTCAGAAATAAAACACAGACTGGTCTCTCCTCATCTCCTACCGCGCTCACTGTGAAACCCAGAGCAAGATAGGCGTCATCATATTTTCTTCTTGGCTGCTTGCTGTTCGTCTCGGATGCATCGCTTGCGGTTGCTTTTCTGTTCCCGCCTGCCAAATGTCTTTTCATTTGGAACACTAAGCCACACATGTGAGTCGCCAAGGATCATGGCCGTCGCGCATGCGCAAGCGTAACCTGTTAACGGCGTAACGTAAACATTTTTAATTTACAAAAATTCTGCATTTCCCCCTGCGCCCCACCTGTAATACCACCGCGCCCCACTAGTTGAGAACCACTACCCTAACGCGACTGCGCGTCGTTACCCTAACGCGACTACGCGTCGTTACTCTAACGCTACTACACGTCATGACCCTAACGCGACTGCGCGTCGGTACATTAACACGACTACATGTAGTTACCGTTCCCTGATCCTCCTCCATATGATTATGACGTAATAATTCATAATAAAGAGAAAACCTTATAATTACTAATGATGTGTTTTATTCTGATCTCCTGATTGCAAGAAAAGATCTCCAGAGTTTCATCTTTGTTGACTGTAACTTCTCAGTTAAATTAAGTTAAATGAAGTGTCACCATTTTGTCAATGACGTCCTGCAGCTTGCAGCATTCGTCCTGGAGCTCTGCAGCTCCACTTGTCTGCTGCGACGGAGCTGATGAAGGTGATGAAGACTCGTCCACTACCAGCAGCTGATTGCTCTGAGAACTGAAGGAGAGTAGATTGATGAAAAAAATCTTTTAACCAACTAAATTAAAACTACTAAATCCACATTAAACTAAATTAATTAAAGTAATAGTAATTAGTCAAACTAACTTAATTAAACTCATTGAAGTAACTTAATTTAAATACACTAATTAAAGGAACAGTGTGTAACATTTAGGGGGGATTAATTGGCAGAAATGGAATATATTATTTATAACTACTTTTTCATTCGTGAATAATGACCTGATACTAAGAATCTGTACGAAGAAAGTAATTTGTATCTACACAGGAAGTGGGTCCTCTTCTACAGAGTCTGCCATGTTTCTACAACAGCCCAGAGGGGACAAACTTAACACTGTCTCTAGAGATAGGAAAAGATTCCACACAATCTGTATTTCACCAGTAGAGGTCACTAAATCTCACACACTGCTCCTTTAAACTCATCGTGTCGGTTGCCTGCTACGTTGAATCTATCATTAATAAACTAAATGAACTAAACTAGCTTAATCAAATTAAATGAAACTAAGTAAAGTAAACTCACCGTGTCAGTCTGATGTCCACCAGGTTTCCTGCTATGCTGAATCCGTCCTCGTTGAGTTTTTCCCACCTCACCATCAGGTTGTGCCAGTCGGCTGCGTTATCTTTGATTTTTCGGGTACTTCCAGTGACAGCAGAGCACTTCCTGTTGGCCTGGGTCACAGTGATGTCACCTGACGAGACAACATGTATGACACAATGCATGCCGGTTAGATTTGTGTACGACTTGCTCTGACGTCATGAACACGTGGTCAACGATGACCTTACCAGAGCCAGGCGGCCGCAGATTTTAGAGCCAGGTGACCCAATGCATGATGGGAAACGCCTGGCTGTGTCCGGATCAGAGAGCTGATTAGCTCTTAGATTTGACAACAAACACGTTTAGTAGAAAATCCTAATTTTCTGTGTAATTGTAATATTCAACACTCGGCTGTTGGCTGTTAGTCTCATGTTGTGTAACAAAGGTTTAATCTAAAAACATATCTTGTGATTAATAATAATAATAATAATAAAGCTTATTTATACAACACATATCAAAGAGAGCAGCAAAGTGTTTCACAAACATAGAAATAAAGGATAGAATACAATGTAGATATATGTATATTTCCATACAAATATATATTTATAAACATAAATAAATCCGAACGAGGTCTGTAAACTACAAATAGCCTACAGATCTAACCGGAAGTTAGTTTCTTTGACTTCCTGTTTATTCTTTGAGGGCAAATGAAAGTCCGACTTCACCTCAGTATTGTGTCAGCGCCCCCTGCTGCTGAGGAATGATCTCATCTACTCTACAGGAGAGACGCAGCTCATCTACAACGAGCGTGTTCACTCACCCTCCATCTGACCAGCGACTCCTTCTTCCTCTTCTTCTTCTTTATTTTGTATTATTTTAATGGCGGACTGCTCAGGCGCTCACGTTGACGGATCAACTTTCAACTTCCGGGTTCCTTTCTTCTTCGGTGGTGGATCTCCTCCCTAGCAGCGATTCAGCGCCTCCTGTTGATTGATCACCTCTTCTTCACTCTCAAGCAGTGTTGGCTGGTGGAGCATGTTCTCTGTCGGGCTGTTCCACATCCAATCAATGTCAGCAAACATCCCAGAATGATTTAATGCAAAAACATTAAGGTATCAAACACGTATTACTACTTTACAGTTAAATATTTAACCTTTATTCCAACATGAAAAAAGCAGAAAATAACACTTTGACAAACACGTCAGGACATCTTATTATAGTCTCAGTATAATACAATAATGTATATATCATATAATAACATTCACTATAATATAATAATGTATATCATATAATATATATATCATATAATAATATATATGTCATATAATAATATTCTGTATAATATAAAACACACACATGTATTAATAACTATATATCACATAATAATATTCACTCCAATATATATATATATATATATATATATATATATATATATATATATAATGATGTATTAATAACTATACATCATGTCTCAGCAGGTGCTTCATGTCCGTGCTGGATCTGTCCCCGTTGTTTTAAAAAGCTGAATGAGTTATTAGCATGACAGCTAGCATATCCAGCTAGCCTAACCTGTCTGGTGTTCAGCTAGTGGAGAAGCTTCATGTACTGCTTCCCTTTCCCACTAGTCTGCTGTCTGGTTGTGAGGTCAGGCTGATCTGATATCAGCTCTTTGGCCTGAAGGTTCTCCTCAAAGTTCTCCTCTCAAACGGGTCTTGAGGTAGGATCGCTTCCAGTTTCAGCTTCCGGTTCAAGTGAGGATCGCTTCCGGTTGAGCGAGGAAATGACAAAGGGTACTTCTCAAGTCTCTTAATTGTCGTTTCCTCACTCCTCGATCCTCGGTGAACCGGAAGTTGTTTCTGCGCCGCCATATTGACGGTCGTCCCAAAGCTCTAATGTAGCTCTGAGGATGGAGGATGGAGGAGGGACCTCGGAGGAGCCATGAGCGAGGACCCACGAGAACAGACTTCCAGGAAGTCTTTTAACGGCCGACACGCCCCCTCACTGTTCATCAGTCATGTGATTGGACGCTGCAGCCGATCAGACTGACTGACTGAGTTTAACACCAGAGTGAAGACGGATCAGAGTAAACTCTAGTTTATATTTGATTAGGTTTCTGATTCAACATCTGGTTTAAATAAAAGTTCATTGTAGACTGAACAACAAAAGGACCACAAACAACTTTCTACATTTATTAGAAAGATTTGTGTTTTCATGATCTGATGTTTCCCTCAATAACTTTATTATGAATGTCATCAGAAACAGACGTCGCTTCACATGTCCACAACTGAGGAAAGGACGTCTCATGTCTCTTAAAACATATCTCCTCGTTCCTCTCTCCTCGCATGGTTTCCTCCATGCATCCCTGGTGGGAGGGACTAAGACGCAAGGAAAGGACCCAAGTGAGGGAAACGGGGATGACATTAAGAGACTTGAGATGTACCCAAATAACAGACTTGAGACTCCTCGCTCGAGCTGGAAGCTGTTCTGCGCCGCCATGTTGACGGCCGTCCCAAAGCTCTTATTTCTGCTCTGAGGAGGGAGGAGGGATCTCTGAAGAGCCATGAGCAAGGACCCACGAGAACAGACTTCCAGGAAGGGCAGAATCCATTCAGTTTGGGGCAGAATTGATTCTGCCTCAAACTGAATCTATTTGAGGGCGCTGATTGGTTAAATTGTATGTCACACATTTATATCTTTAACCAGCAATTGGCTAAACTGCTTCATAGCCCCGCCTCTTTTGGGCAGTTTCTCCAGCGCCCCAGAGCTGCTGAGACGTGCACGCGCGGAGAGGACGTGCAGGAAAAGCATATATTTACCGCAGATATCATATTTTACACATATTACTGGTGATTCCATATTTCAAAAACACAAATATTGACAATTTGTATAGTTTATTATTATTATCATTTATTTTATTTTATTTGTTGTGGCTCAAGGTGGGGCAGCGCCCTAGCGCCCTCTATTGACCAGCCGCCACTGTTCTCAATGGTTCTTTTGTGTTTATTCATTCATTTTCTTCAAAACCATGAAACAATATTTTATTATTTAACGTTATTATTAAAATCTACTTATTTATGTTTATTCATAACACATGACATCAGATGTTTATATAGAATAATAAAACAACAGTCAGAGTGAGACCTCTTCACAATAAAACAACAGTCAGAGTGAGACCTCTTCACAATAAAACAAGAGTGAGACCTCTTCACAATAAAACAGTCAGAGTGAGAACTCTTCACAATAAAACAACAGTCAGAGTGAGAACTCTTCACATTAAGATAACAGTCAGAGTGAGACCCCTTCACAATAAAAACAGTCAGAGTGACACCCCTTCACAATAAAACAACAGTCAGAGTGAGACCTCTTCACAATAAGATACGAGTGAGACCTCTTCACAATAAGATACGAGTGAGACCTCTTCACAATAAAACAGTCAGAGTGAGACCTCTTCACAATAAAACAGTCAGAGTGAGACCTCTTCACAATAAAACAGTCAGAGTGAGACCTCTTCACAATAAAACAGTCAGAGTGAGACCTCTTCACAATAAAACAACAGAGTGAGACCTCTTCCCCATAAAACAGTCAGTGAGACCTCTTCCCCATAAAACAACAGAGTGAGAACTCTTCACAATAAAACAACAGTGTGAGACCTCTCCCCCATAAAACAACAGTCAGAGTGAGAACTCTTCACAATAAAACAACAGACAGAGTGAGACCTCTTCCCCATAAAACAAGTCAGAGTGAGAACTCTTCACAATAAAACAACAGTCAGAGTGAGACCCCTTCACAATAAGGTAACAGACAGAGTGAGACCTCCTGCTGCTGCCACACGATCTCTTCTAGTTGACGCAGCAGGAAGCAGCAGAAGAAGATGACGAGAGCAACCCTTCCTCTGAACATCTGAATATCTGGACTAATAATAATCAATAATCGATCAGACGGACCTCCGTGTCCTCGTTAAAGATGTTGGTTCTCCAGCAGCTTCCGGCCGAGCTGTGGCTTCAGGTGTTCGGCTTCCTGTCCTGGAGCGACAAGTTGAACTTGCGCTGCACCTGCGTTCACTTCAGGCATTTGGTGGATAAGTCCCGCCCCCTTTGGCACGGGTTCAGCGTGGCCCTGCGGAACTTCTCCCGTTACAACCGGCCCTTCTGGCGGAGCCTGGCTCAGAGGCGCGTGGACATCATTTCGGTGCGTTCAGGTAAGAGGAAACACCTGAAGCAGCTCGCCACCTGGCTTCCTGCTCTCGGGGCGCTGCGATTGGATGACTGGAGGGAAGTGGGCGTCGATGAGCTGAAGCTGTTCCAATGGATGCAGCGTCTGTCTGTCACTTCCTGTTCCTCGCCGCTGAAGAACATTGACTTCCTGTTTTCCCTGAGTCAGCGGTTGTTGGAGCTCAGACTGTGTAACGTGAAGCTCACCTGTCCCGCATCTCACCTGTTGGCCGCACTCAGTCAGCTGACTCATCTCACCTCTCTGCAGCTGCACCATGATGGCAGTCTGAGAGTCCCGACGCTGAGCGGTGTCCTGACTCACCTGACTGAGTTGAAACACCTGTCCTGGACCATGATTACCTACAGAACACTGTCACGTGACTTCTTCAGCCCCGCCCACCTCACAGGTAAATGTGACATTATCCAATCAGCAGGTATCACACGGTCCTTTAGCTCCTCCAGCAAGCCTCCAACCTTGACCCCATGATGCTTTTTGGGACACGGGTAATAACAGGTGAGATGACACGGGTAATAACAAGTGGGTAATAACAAGTGTGATGACACGGGTAATAACAGCTGTGGTGACACGGGTAATAACAGCTGTGATGACACGGGTAATAGCAGGTGAGATGACACGGGTAATAGCAGGTGAGATGACACGGGTAATAACAGGTGAGATGACACGGGTAATAGCAGGTGAGATGACACGGGTAATAGCAGGTGAGATGACACGGGTAATAGCAGGTGAGATGACACGGGTAATAGCAGGTGAGATGACACGGGTAATAACAGGTGAGATGACACGGGTAAAAACAGCTTTGATGACACGGGTAATAACAGGTTGATATAAATGTTATGCTTGTCTTAAACCAGGTGGTGGCGCTCTGCAGCTGTCTGACCTTCAGTTGTTGAACTACGACGCCGTGGTGACACAGGAAGTTCTGCAGCCTTTGTCCCGCCTCCTCAGCCTGTCAATCTTCCACCTGTACTCCGTACCTGGTCCCATTTGTCACCTGCAAACATGGCTGACGTCACTGCCGCAGCTCCGCAGCCTCAGTGTGCACGGTGAGTGTCGACATCTACTGCAGCTGTACTGTGACAGTGATGTCATCATGACCTCTGTCTTATCCAATAGGAGGCCATCCTCTGGCGGTGTACGCCGAATTCCTGCCATCCTCCCTCCTCAGTCTGACTCTCTGTGTGGACCTGCAGCCTGAAGACCTGCAGGTGGTTTCGCACAGAGCTCCTCACCTGGAACACCTGCACCTGGAACCCTGGAGCTCCTCTTCCGGCCTAGTTAGACTCCTCCCACAGCTGTTCCCTCACCTGAGGACACTCCGGATCAGGTGAGTCACTGACACCTCATCAACAAAATCTGACAGCAAACAAAACAGCTGCTTATATCTACCTGCTGGTCTCCGTATCTACCTGCTGGTCTCCATATCTACCTGCTGGTCTCCGTATCCGTCACTACCTGCTGGTCTCCGTATCTACCTGCTGGTCTCCGTATCCGTATCTACCTGCTGGTCTCCGTATCCGTATCTACCTGCTGGTCTCCGTATCTGCCTGCTGGTCTCCGTATCTGCCTGCTGGTCTCCGTATCTGCCTGCTGGTCTCCGTATCTACCTGCTGGTCTCCGTAGTGACCTGCTGGTCTCCGTATCTACCTGCTGGTCTCCGTAGCGACCTGCTGGTTGTTTACTTGAGTGTTTCTGTGTTTCAGACATCATCACCTGTCGGACAGTGACTTCATGAATCTGCAGCAGCTTCAGCATCTCGTCACTCTGGAGGTTCTGGATTCATTCTACAAACCAGACCCAACGGACCCGAGCCGGGTCGTCTACCAGCCGAGTCCTCGTCTGCTGCAGCTGATCTCTGACCTGCAGAAACTGACCAATCACAGAGTACGAGTCATTACTAGCTCACACAGAGACCCGCTCTCCTGCCACTGTGTCTGACCAATCAGAGAAGACTGTGACATCACCTGTGGGGGCGGGGTCAGTTCTCAGTTGAGCCGTTTGACTACAAATCCAAATCATTTATTTAACATGTTTGTTGGTGGGAAATTACTAAACGTTTAAATGTTATTGACACAAAATGTGCCTTTTCTGGATAACCTGTCATTGTCATCACCGCTGCATTAAGGGTAAAGTGGCCCAACGTTACCAAATGAATGAACTAGAAAATGCAGTGGAAAGCTGAAAAAAAATGTCTTAAAAATGTTGAACCACACCGATGAAAACCTAGAAGTTTAAATGTATAACTGGCAGAATGAGTTAAATCGTTTTATCTAAAGAAGCTAAATTACAATGCAGGAAAATCTGGAAGATAAACAATGTTGCTGTCAAAGTTATAGTACCAAAAGTACAACTATTGGTAGTATTATTAATATAAATTTAATAGCAGTGGTTGTAGTAATGGTTGAAATAGTAGTAGTAGCAGTGAAAGTAGTATTAATAATAGTTGTATTGGTAGTAATAGCAGTAGGAGTAGTATTGGTGGTAGCAGTATCGTAATGGCATTTGTTGTAGTGGTATTAGTAATAGTTTTATTACTAGTAATAGTAATTGCAGTAGTAGTAATATTTGTTGTAGTAGTACTAGCATTAGTGGTAATAGTAGCAACAGAAGTTGTAGCAGGAATACTGGTAATATTAGCAGCAGTAGTTGTCGCATTAAGAATTTAAACAAAAAAAGCCCAATTCTGAGGTTCTTGTTAATCAATGGGGCTTTTATTTTGAAAGGGTGGGAGTGGGTGAGGAGACTATCAGAATCAAAATCTCTAAAACCTCAGTGACTGTGTGAGAGACAAGAAGTAATACTATCGTCATCTGTGTAGATCAATCTGCACTAATTAGCTCATAATCACCTGTGTGCCTGCCTGCATCAAAGGTTTCCATAGCGATGTAACTTCAAAGAGAAACCGGTCCACCGGCTTCACATAAAGCTGAGGAGAACCTACATACTGAGCTCCTGTTGGACATAAAGCTGAGGAGAACCTCCATACCGAGCTCCTGTTGGACATAAAGCCGAGGAGAACCTCCATACCGAGCTCCTGTTGGACATAAAGCCGAGGAGAACCTCCATACCGAGCTCCTATTGGACATAAAGCCGAGTTATTCCTAGACGTGTACTAGTTTGAGATAAAATGATAAGGACCTTTTCTCTGTACAGAACATGAATGTAGTTGTCCTTTATGCCGATGACACCTCGTCATCTACAGGAATGAACTGCTAGTTTACTGCCACACCGATAAGTTGCAGTTAATATCACAGAACAGCCACTTTATTTTAATACTATAGAATTGTGCTTAGTGACCATTGACGTGTCAATGGTCATCAGTTCATCCATAAAAGACAGTTTATTTGACCCAAACGGATTTATGCTCTATAACGATCTAACTAAAACTATATCTGAATACAACTGAACACAAATATAGAAAACAGACTTTTATTTTGAAATTACAAACAGACTCTGTTGAGGTATTTACAACTGAAAGAACAAAAAATAATAAAATGTATACAAAAACAAAAAAGTCCTTTTCTTTGCGTGTCCATTATTGTAAAACTCATGAGGGATTTGCGTTCAGGCAGGTGTGAAAAGTGGGCGGAGCCTCAGACAGTTCACCTGTCCGTTAGTCTGTCGCACCATCGTCTTTTAGTTTCTTCTTCTTCTTCTTCTTCTTCTTCTTGGCACTTAAAACCTACAAGAAATAAACAATGTTGAAACAATTATATTTAAATTATCTGAATAAATCTGGTTATTTTCAGAGTTTCTCTTTAAGTGTTAAGTTTGTTATATTCAGATGATGTTTGTTGAAAACCTTGTAAGTCATTACTCACCTCTGCCTCAGGCTCCGCCTCCACCACCTCAGGCTCCGCCTCCTCCAGTTGCACCCTCTTCTTTTTCTTCTTCTTCACCTCTACGGTAGGTGTGCTGGGCGTTGCTGCTTCGCCGTCGCTGTCGGCCGCCTCCCTCTTCCTCTGTAGAGGAACAGGTTTAGTGATGACATCACCACTTCAGTGAACATCAGGTGCACTCCGATTGGACGACAGGTGGAGTGAACTTACCTTTGCTGACGTGTCACATGACTCTGCAGTTGCCTTGGAGATGCTGTCAATCAAAAACAAAATAATTAGTAAGATTTTTATGACACCACTGTTCTCAGGTGAGCGCGATGACACCACTGTTCTCAGGTGAGCGCGATGACACCACTGTTCTCAGGTGAGCGCGATGACACCACTGTTCTCAGGTGAGCTGCAGCTCAGCAGCATCAGAGTGAAGAAGCTCATGGCTGAGAGTTCCTGTAGCAGACCGACTCCCTCAGAGAGCACGTCAGCTCAGAGAGGGATAACTGTCTGCACACACACCTGAGCACCGGCCCCGCCCCCTCAGGTGAGGCTTACCTGTAGTCCACGTATTGGCTCTTCCAGTCGGCGGGCGTGCTGCCGTTGGGCTTCCCGTGTTTGTCGAGTAGTCCTTTCTGAACCATCATCTTCTTCTGACTCGCCTGAAGAAACAAGCCGTTACTATTGAGACTAAATAAACTTTATTTGAATAAACTTTATTTAAACAGGACTTTACCTTCGGACCCAGGCCCCACTTCCGAGGGTACGTGTCTCTCTCCATGATCACTCTCTTGATCTTCGCCACGATGCCGTGATCACAGGTGGAGATCACAGCCGTGGTCATCAGAGCAACAGCTGGACGACAAATAAAGTGAACGTTAAGAAAGTCACACGATCCTGTGATCACGATCATGATGAAACACAGCCATCAGAAAAGGGTGATAGATAGCAGGTCATCACAGCCCGAGAGCTACTGCAGCATCTACACTCATCATGTGGCTTCAGACAGAGAGAGCGACGGACAGACGGAGAGAGACAGACCCCCGTCTCACCTGTGCAGATGGCCTCTCCCTTGGTGGTTATGACGACGATGTCCTGGTTCATCTCGATGCCGTCTTCGTACCTGAGGACACCTGGCAGCATGATCTTAGCTCCGTAACAGATGGCGTTCACCTGAAACGCATCATATTATATTAACCATTAGCTTCTCATCACGTTAAATGATGACATCATTATCTTTCCACTTCAGATTCTTCTTCTGTGGTATTGATTAAGTAGCCTTTATCACCACCTGCTGGTGCGGAGTATTTTCTAAATGAAGGGAAAAATATCTTTAAACAAAAACTATACGTCAGTGTTCACTCAGAGGGGTTTCTATTATTATGGCCACCCCGTCACTATAGAAGCTCCGCCTACTGACCAATTAGAATCCATAATAAATAAGTGTAACATGCAGAAAGAACAGCTGGTAATAAGTGATACAACTTCAGCTAAAACCGGAAGACAATCAAATAAAACATAACTCAATGTTACATTGAGTCGCATTATGGTGACAGGATATTATGATTTGTTAAAATGTACTCAGTATTACAATAAAGTGATGAAGACTCACCGCGCTGTCCTTCATCACCAGACGTTTGTAGGACACCAGCAGCTTCTCCAGAGGGAACACGACTCGCCTCAGATACGTCTCGTCTTTGTTGTGATCAAACTGCCACTGAGCGTCCAGCACGTCGTGCATCGTCACCATGTGGTCCTGAACACAAACCCATGCATGAGGTCATGACGATGACGCCGTGACGATGTCAGCAGCACAGAGGCTCCACAACCACAACCGATGATGTAATCCGGGCCCCAGCTGCAGGTTTCTGTTCCAAAGTTAAATTGACAGACCGACACGGAGCAGAAGGCCTGAACTCAACACTTTGAATGTGACGACACGGGGGAAGTGGTACCGACCTTCTCTCCCAGGACTCCAGACCGGACTCGTCTGAGTTCCTGCATCTGACCTCCGACCCCGAGCATCAGACCCAGGTGGACACACAGAGTCCGTATGTAAGTTCCTGCCTCACAGCTCACCCAGAAGATCCCTGAGGAACACAGAACATGTGATCGATGACATCACCTCTTAAGGTATTAATGTCCTCGGTCATATTGATCTTACCTAATCTCCTCTCGGGGTCGTACTCGATCAGTTTACTCTCGTAGACCGTTCGGACTCTGAGTTGACGTTTCACAGCGGCGATCAACGGCGGTCGCTGGAACAAAGCGCCCGTCAGCGTCTCCAACCCCTACAGATAGAAACTCAGTCAACAACGGTCACATAACCAACACACAGACAGCCAATCAGAGTAAACCACAGGTTTGTTTACAGACATAAATCTACGTTCACCTTCTACAGCTCATTGTTCCTGAACTAGTTTCTAATGAAATGCTTTTAGAATCAAAGTGACTGACAGGTGGTCAGACTCACCCGGGCCAGGGTGTGTTCACTCTCTATGGCATTGTGCAGCCGAACGATCCCCACATACTCTTTACCTGCAACACACACAGAGAGTAGTGAGGGGGGCCGCTGGGTTTTACTGTGCTCGCACATGGACAGCCAGGTGGACACGTTCAGTGCCGCGATCAATAAGTATCAGTAACAAACAGGAAGCGGTCATGTCTGGGTACCGGCGCTCTGCTGGGACTTGACCAATCGCGTGGCTCGGTCCACGCAGACGATCAGGCAGCCGGTGACCTTCGGGTCGAGCGTCCCGCTGTGACCCGTCTTCTCCACTCGCAGGATCCTCCGGATCCACGCCACCACCTCGTGAGACGACGGGTTCGCTGGTTTGTCCAGGTTGATGAAGCCAGTCCTGACAGGAAGTAACATCTATTGTTAGCATAGCATTACCTAACATAATCCTGAATGTTGCTAGCTTAGCATTACCCAACAGAGGCCTAGGTGCGGTTAGCTTAGCATTACCCAACAGAGGCCCAGGTGCGGTTAGCTTAGCATTACCCAACAGAGGCCCGGGTGCGGTTAGCTTAGCATTACCCAACAGAGGCCCGGGTGCGGTTAGCTTAGCATTACCCAACAGAGGCCTAGATGCRGTTAGCTTAGCATTACCCAACAGAGGCCTAGATGCGGTTAGCTTAGCATTACCCAACAGAGGCCTAGATGTGGTTAGCTTAGCATTAACCAACAGAGGCCTAGATGCAGTTAGCTTAGCATTAACCAACAGAGGCCTAGATGCGGTTAGCTTAGCATTAACCAACAGAGGCCTAGATGCGGTTAGCTTAGCATTAACCAACAGAGGCCTAGATGCAGTTAGCTTAGCATTACCCAACAGAGGCCTAGATGCGGTTAGCTTAGCATTACCTAACATAGTCCTGGATGTTCCTCTTCAGAGGGTTGCTGCCGTTCGGTAGAGGAGTGTAATGAGCCGTTCGGATGTTTAGTTTATCAAAATTCTGCAAGAAACAATTTTATGTTAAATAAAATTAGAAACCGGACTAACAGAGTTCAAGTTTAAACTTGTTGCTTAACACAAAGCACTCTTACATATTTATGTCTTCATGTGATCAGAACAGTGAAATCATCTCGGCAGCGCTCGAGTCTTGTGTCGTTCTCTGAGCAGTGTCAGGTCGCCTTCCGGCAGAACGCCGAAACAACGTCGGCACCGCTGCAGAGAGGCCCCGCTCCCAGAACGAGGGCAGAGCCAGTGACTAAGACAAGATGGCCGCTCGGCGAATGGATAAACTTCTTCATCACTTCACATGTGCAAGACTAGTGTGTTTATATTATATTTCTCTTTCAGATAGAGATATATCTATCTATATCTATAATCATCATTAATACAACCATGCATTTTAAATTACAAATAACATGGTACCTTATGTTGTAAGGCGCACCTTTAATAAATACGGTAATAAATAAAGACAGGCGAGCCGGGTGCATTACGGTACTAAAGACAGGCGAGCCGGGTGCATTACGGTACTAAAGACAGGCGAGCCGGGTGTATTACGGTACTAAAGACAGGCGAGTGTACCTTGAGCAGCAGGGGCCACTGAGACGTGTCCAGAGAGAACACCTTGGACTCTGGTTGGATGAGGAAGTCTCCGCTCTGCTGGATCTCCTGTTAACAGAGAAATTAACTTTAATCTGCATTCAGAGAGAAATAAAGTTATTAAATCAACATGAACAGAATTCACTTCTCTACTCACACCGACTTCTTCTTCACCGACTTTCCTCGTTTTCTTCTTCTTCTTCCCCGACGCTGCAGAACAAATCACAGATTTAAACAACGTTTTACATCTTTAATTCTAAAACCGTACCTTGATGTTTTTACTTTATTTCAGCGTCTAACGCGACCTCAAAGAGACATTTCATACTCCGAGGTGAACACGTGTTGAATTATTAATAATAAATTATTAAATGTGACGAAACGAATCTCAAAAACAGGAGTTTGAGTTTCCAGCAGAAAAACATTTTAAGTTTGTTTTATGATTAAAGTCTGACGCCATTAATGGAGGAAAGAGAACCAGCCCAGTTGCCTCCGACCACACGTGGTAGTTAGCATCGGGCGGCTAACTAAAGCTAACAGGCCGTGTGATCAGAATCATCGACTTCTGATTCAACCACTGAACACGTGGTTTAATCCTCTTAATGTGATGAAGATGATGAAGAATATATCTCAAACTGTAGCAATAAACTAGGCTTTTCTGGCTGGATCTGGTTCCACGCGAGCAGCCACACATGGGTCTTTCCGGGGCCCACGTGCTGAAAAACCCTAAAACCTGCAGGTTTCTACACGCGCTGAACTAACAAACACGACGCAGAGCTTCAACACACTGAACCACAACAATCCTCCATTAAAACATATAAATACGTATTAACACATAAAAATACTCTGTTTCCATCATGGAGTCCGGCCTCACGCGTAGATAAACTGACTGAGGGTCCGTTTGAGGAAGCCGACAGAAACAGACTCGTGCACTTTAATCAGCTGCAGGTTTAACTTTAAACTTTAAATATTCTCATCAGTTAAAAGTTCTCGTTTCACTAAAAACACGCGCAGCTACTCACCGTCTGTGTCCGCCATGATCACCCACGAGACTGAAGGAGAGAGACTGCTGCTGTCTCCTCCTCTTCCTCTCTTATCTCCTCCTCTTCTTCCTCCTCCCCCTCCTCCACCTCTTCTTCTTCGGTGGTTACCATACATCTGTATTAGAGCATTACCGCCTCATTCTGCTCCGGAGTGTGAATCACACAATACATTTACAATATTTCCCCAAAACAAAACAAACAAAATAATAATAATTAAATGAATGAATTAAAATAAATATAGAACACGTATATAGAAATAAATAGATTTAAAAAAAATAAATAAATAAAATTAAAAAATTAAAAAATTAAAACATTAAAAAATAAAGAAATAAAGAAATACAATTTAAAAAAAAAAATTTTTATAAAAAAAAAAGAATTCTAATGAGAAAAGAATATTTATTTATTGTTAGAGTATATGTTATTTATAATTCATCCAGTTCAATTTCAAATCTGACAATTAATATTATTCAATTCAACTTTCTTTATTGTATTTGACAGTCAGTTGTTGACGACATACAGATGTTAATACAACTGTTGGCTACTTCACGATATATGGAACTAAGTCATAGTGTCATAGACATTACTGTGATGAATCCTCTCTGACTGGACCTCGCTGAACTTATATAATAACCTGCTGTACATACAGCATATTTTATCTGCAATGGTGATGATGTGTGGTCCTCTACAGGCCATCCGGAGCTTTGTCAGCTGCTTCTCTTTAGGACATGAAGGTCGTCATCCCGTCCTCTTGTATTTCACAAACATCTAGTCATCATGTGGCCTTCAGGCTGCTCCTGGACTGAAGCGGGACACATGCCGGCAACACTTCCTCCTCTGAGGGTCTCTCACTGGGGCCACAGGTCCTCGTCTTCAACTCCTCAACAAATGGAGTCGGGTCCTCAAACGCCTCCTCAAGTACGAGCCTCATCAGTTCATCCACGTAGTCTGAACATGACAACATTATTTAAATGCTGCTCAACACTCCATGAAAGTGAAAACCACGTCCTGTGTTCAGAGCACAGGACGTGTCAGCTTCACTAAACACAGCTGATGTTTACTGTTGTTTACAAAACACTTGACTCATTTGTCTGTTTTTATTTGAATGTGTAAACAACAACCAACAAAACAACAACCTATGGAACACGTGAGAGGAGACCGGGAGTTCCCGTTTTTCCCACAGCAGTGAAGGCATCATTCGTTACGGTCAGACAGAGAGACAGAGAGACAGACAGACAGACAGTCAGACAGACAGTCAGACAGACAGTCAGACAGACATCACGGACTCCGCTGACGGTACCGAGCCGCTCTATTAGATCCATTAACAGATCACCGCCGGTATGAACACGGAGGAGACCAACGTGGATCTGAAGGATGCTGAGACCAAAGATGCGGATCCGACGGAGGCGCCAGGTCCAGATGCGGTCGCCGCAGATGCCGATGCGACGGAGGCCGATGTGAGCGAGGCGGATCTGGACCAGGAGGAGCAGGAGAAGCAGCCGATGACCGGAGGAGGAGGAGGAGACCGGGCCGAGGACGCTCCGTCTGCCGGAGGAGAGGAGGCGGAGCCGGCAGACGGAGCGGTGATGGAGAAGAACGGAACCGTGAAGCTGAAGATTCAGGACGAGGAGGAGGAGGAGGTGAAATTCACCGGACTGAACAAAGAGGAGCTGCTGAGGGTGGCCGGGACTCCGGGGTGAGGAGGCGCCAACACACACACACACACACACTATATATAATGAATTATGTCTGAATGTCTCCGATGCTCTCCTTCCATGCATCCTCCTCCCTGTCTCCTCGTCCCCCCTCCCTGTCTCCTCGTCCCCCTCCCTGTCTCCTCATCCTCCTCCCTGTCTCCTCGTCCCTCTCCCTGTCTCCTCGTCCCCCTCCCTGTCTCTTGTCCTCCTCCCTGTCTCCTCAGCTGGGTGAGGACGCGCTGGGTGTTGCTTGTGGTGTTCTGGTTCGGCTGGTTGGGGATGTTGGGTGGAGCCGTCCTCATCGTCCTCCAGGCTCCCCGCTGCAGAGACCTCCCGTCCTCCAGCTGGTGGAACGACGGCCCGCTGTACCAGATCGGAGACATCGGGGCCTTCAGCGCCCTGAAAGACCTGAAGGGTGAGGAAAGCAAGGCATTCTGGGAGAGATTATTTATTATATACTGTATATTCATGAAGATGTGAAGCAAGGCATTCCGTTTTGTCTTCCTCCTCCTCCACCACCTCCTCCCTTTCCTCCTCTTCCTCTTCCCTCTCCTCCTCCTCCTCCTCCTCCTCCCTGCCCCCAGGAGTGGAGCAGAAGGTGGGCAGTCTGTCTCAAATGAAGATCCGAGGTCTGGTGGTCGGTCCGGTCCACGTAGCTCCAGCAGACGACGTCATGAGTCTGAGGTTTGAGGAGGTCTCCTCTGAGTCTGGAACCCTGGACCAGTTCAAAGACCTGGTCCAGGCAGCTCATAAGAAGGGTGACGATGACAATCATTATTAGAAGGAATGAGCTTTGAGAACAGTACTCAGTATTCAGGATCCTGGTCTAGTTTACATGTTGTCTATCTCTGCAGGTATTTCTGTGGTTCTGGATCTGACTCCAAACTACCAGGGTTCATCTGGACCCTGGTTCTCCAACGTCAGTGTGACCAACGTAGCTGAGAGGCTGAAGGTGAGCGAGAGAGAGACAGACAGGCAGACAGACAGACAGAGAGACAGACAGACAGAGAGAGAGAGAGAGAGAGAGAGAGAGAGAGAGACAGTTCACTGCAGACAGGATCTGAACAGAGATCAGTCGGACTGTCAATGCTAGCTCACTATTACACTTCCTGTTTACATCCCCAGAGGGGACGCCATAGCTGTCTGTCTCTACCAGCTGTCTGTCTGTCTGTCTGTCCTCAGTCTGCTCTGGTCTTCTGGATGAAACAAGGCGTGGACGGCGTGCAGATGTCGGGGGTGGAGCGAGTGGCCTCCATGGTGCCGTCTCTGTGGACAGACATCAGAGCCATCGTCCACAACGGGACGGAGGACAGTCCCAACAAGAGGTCAGAGACCAATCTGTCAGACCACTTGGACCTCTGGGACCACTGGGACCTCTGAGACCTCTAGGACCTCTGGGACCACTGAAACCATTGAGACCAGTGGGACCACTGGGACCACTTAGTCCACTGGGACCACTAAGTCCATTGTGACCACTGGGACCACTGGACTCTCTGGGACCACTGGGCTCTCTGGGACCAATGTGACTACTGAGTCCACTGGAACCTCTGAGACCTCTGGTACCACTGAGTCCACTGGGACTACTGGGACCTCTGGGACCAGGTCCATCATGACTCAAATTCTAATCCTAATCACCCTCAAACAGAATCAGGACAACTTCTAAAGTCCTCAGAATAGAAAACTGTCCAGATATGAAATAAAATATTTATATCTCGGTCCGTTTGTACCAACGAAGACTGGATGTGTTTTTCCAGAGTCCTGATCGGCGTCACAGAGCGTTCCTCGGCTGAAGACGTGTCCGCCCTCCTCAACTCCACCGGCGTGGACCTGCTGGTCTCCAGGGTCCTCCTCGGCCCCGGCAGCGCGGGCGCCGCGGACGCCACTGAGCTCGCTCAGTCTGTCCAGCTCTTGTACTCGTCCCACAACCAGCTCAAGCTGACCTGGAGCCTGGGGGGGCGGGACCAGGGTCACCTGGCCTCGCTGGTGGTACCGGCTCTGGTCAAACTGCACCAGCTGCTGCTGCTCACGCTGCCGGGGACGCCCGTCTTCAACTACGGAGACGAGATCGGCCTGATGGACGAGGTGAGGACGCGTCCCGTGAGACCTGAGAGACGGATGTTAAATCAGTGGATTAATCAGTGGAGTCTGGTCTATGGCGTCTGTTACTTCATAAAGAATAGTAGCAGTAGGACTAGTACCAGCAGTAGGACTAGTACCAGCAGTAGGACTCGTACCAGCAGTAGCAGTCGAACTAGTACCAGCAGTAGGACTCGTACCAGCAGTAGCAGTAGGACTAGTACCAGCAGTAGGACTTGTACCAGCAGTAGCAGTAGGACTCGTACCAGCAGTAGGACTCATACCAGCAGTAGCAGTAGGACTAG